ACACAGTTTCGCGCTTGGTTCACGCTCGCCTCCCGTTTATTCGAACGCGTCCTCGTTCCCGTGACAACGACGGTTTGAATCTCGCATATCTCGAATCGACGAGAAAGACACGAAACGAGGGTCGATCATCGTTGTGAAAAAGAAGAATCGACAAAAGGTCTCGGGTAGAAGTGGTGGAAGCGGCAACGAGGCTGGATACGCGGATCAGCGCATTCGAGATCCTTTGTTTCTTAAGGATTGTTCCTCTCCGCGAAATTTCGATCGGGAGCCAATCGATCGGAGGAGAAAGATGAGGCCACCATCGGATCCCGAGCGGTTCGATCGATCGTCTTTCCTCCAATCGTGGCTCCTCGATTCTCCGATCTTCTCTTCTTCGGGGAAAATCGACGCGAACCGACCGATACCCCCCCCCCCTCCTCCCCCCACTCCCCATCGAGGAAGAAACGCTGGGAATTCGCTTCTCGCATTTATCCCTCCCTTCCCTCCCCCCCCCTTTTATTTAAGCCCCCCGATTTCTCTCCACTCGATAAATTTAGTCTCCCTTAAAAATATGTACAATATTCGGATTGACAATTTACACGCGATGCTTGTAGCTCGTCCCCCGCGCTCCCTCCTCGCAATTCTCGTCGCCACGAGAGGAACTCGCCCCTCCCCTCCTCTATTACAAAGGGTTGCAAAGGTGGTTTCGAGTTCAGAGTCAATCAAGCACCCCGCCCACAAGTTTTCGCGACGTCAGATTTTTTTCACACTGTTCCTCCTGTTCGTCGCTGCCTTCGGCCGGTTGTTCGAAGTCGTCGTTCCCCTCGCTACTTCATCCATCCCCCTCTTCTTCAAACACCATCCAAGTTAGCCACGGATGTACGCGCGTACACGCCTCTTCAACAACGTCTCATCCTTGGCGAAGAGCGTCGCGGCGCGCGTCCCGCGCGTCCCTTCGCGAGGTGGACCAAGGGGGTGGTGCGTGCACGTACGCTCGTAGCTGATACCTCGGATTGCTCTCCCCGCTGCCTCTTCCTCGCCCCTCGTGCGTCCCTCTCGTCCAGCATCCCAATCTTTCCCCGCCGCTTCCTCCTCCCCCTCACCTTCAAATGCTCCCCCTCCACGTTCCTCTTCCGCCGCCACCGCGCCACCTCTTTGTCTGCAAATAGCCCAAAGGTACGGACGTGAGAATTTGTTTGTCGAAGATCCGTGTGTTGCTTTTTCGCCACGCTTCTCTCTTTTTTATTCGCGCTGATTTTTTTCATTTTAGCGAGAAAAGCGAGAGATTTACATTCTTACGGGTTTTTGGTAAATGGTTTCGCGTCCCAGCATTTGAGACGAGGAAATGATGACATTGGAATATGAAAAGGAATTGTTCTTAAGTATGGATCGAGGATTTTTTTAATTTTTATCTTTTGCATTTTGAACTGATAGATTCGAACTTTGATTGAATTTGATTTATGAATATTTTGGAAAATGAAAATAATATTCAAATACATTTGAACTTATGCGGTTCGTTATTTAAATTTTATTCGTATTATTGTTTTATTTGCAAAAATTCTATAATTTAAAGAATACTTTAAATTATATTTTTATATATAGTTTATAATATATTGAAGTGAAGTAACACTTTTACTTTTGAAATCTTTTCTTTTTATTTTATTTATTATGTAATTAGCGTATTGAGTATATCTTTTCGAAATTTTCAAGTACTTATTCCATCATATTTATTCGATAACAATTTGTAAAGTTATTATAAAATTGTATAGATTTAAACTATAGCATAATAATATAGTGTAATCATTGAAATATTATTGTTTTTGAGTAATGTTCAAAAAACTTGAAAATTCATATATATATATATTTAATTTGATCTCATTTCTATATAAGAATGACGATATTGAAGAATTTTTTGGAACTCGTTATTTTGAAATATTTGTCGAATATAGAGAATGTGTCGTTCAGAGATATTTTCACGGAACTGTATTTTTTAATCAAGCTTTCGAGAGCTTTTGTAAGCACCGTCAAAGTTTTTCTAAAAATTCTGAACTCTGACGTTACATGTCAAACTAGTGAGAAAGATTGAACATGGGTTTTGAATCTCCTTTGAATTTTTAAGTTTTACTCTCGTTCCTGTTTTGACAAATAAGATTTTTAATGTTTTATAGACGAAATTTTATAGAAAGTTTGTTTTCTATCTTCGGGAAATTATTATTTATTTGAAGTTTGAATAAAAATGGAATTTTAATATAATTAAAATGAAATATTTTTTTTTTATAAATACTTGTACAATTACACTTATACACTTATTAAAAATTTTGAAAAGTAAAATTTCTAATATTTTATTCGATCATAGTAATTGAATCACTTTTTCATAGTTTCGGTATCGAATAATTTATAATAAAAATTACATAATTTAAACAAACTATTGAAAATTTTTAATTTTTTCATGTAACTATAATGATTTTTTAAATATTCTTTCTAATATAATTTTTCCAAATTTAAAAAATTTCTTAATATTAAAAGAACATTAAGAAAAAATCAAGAGAAAAAAGATAATATTGTATCACGTTGAATAGTATCTAAGAAAATAAGTTTTCAAATTTCATTTCGAATAGCAAGTAATCAGAAAAAATAAAGAAGTTTGGAAACAAAAAGTATGCAATCCATTTCATAGAAATCTTTTATTTTAGAGTTTTCGCATTTATTTTATCATTTTTTCCTTTTTTATAATTTTTTTTCTTAACAATCCAAAATTTAATAAAAATATATTATTTTTTTCTTAAATCTCAAAGATTTTGATAATATATAAATAACAAAGAGGATAACGAAATTTCTAATTTCATTCAAGATTTTTAAAATTAAATTTTTTTATGAATAAAAGAAAAGTTTTACTTTTATTAATTAATAATAAATATTTATTTGCCATAATTTTGTAAAAAAATTTATATAATTTTGATTAATTATTAATATTATTAATAAATTATTAATAATTTATATATCATAATGACTTTTTTCACTGAAAAGATGTATATTCAATAGTTATATTAATAATTAGATTGCGGATTATTATATGATTAAAAATACATTCAAATATTCAATTAGTATGTGGAATATATATATATGTGATATGTATGTGATATTATATATCAAATTGTATATCAAATATATTTATATAATATATATTCAAAAGTTTATATATATTATATATATTATAGTTTAAAAGAAATTATTAAAAATAATATTTTTGCAATAAAGAATCTTTTGTAAATATTATGAAATTAACTGTTTATAGTAATGTTAATTATTTTAAAATTGCAAAGGAAAATTTATGTATACAGAATGTTAAAAATCAAAAATAAAGATGATCATTTTAATGAAGTAAAAGTTCAAATATGACATTTTATTATCGATTTTATTATTTTACAAATTATTATTTTTGATCGTATTAAATAAATTTAATAATTTTTGATATTCTTATTTGTAAAATTTATATAATATATAACAATAATTTTCTTCAAATTTTCTATTATATTTAGTTGATATTGTTTATATGAAAAAATAAATTTTGAAAAAACATCACAAAAAATATTTAGAATATATATCTATATTATGTATTTATATTTAGAATATGTATGTATATTTATTTTATTTAAGTATATTATTTTAGTATATAAGTATTTTATTTCATATCGTATATTATTTTTTCAATTATTATATTCGTATTTCTTTTATGAATAGTATAGTATTTACATGTTAAATTAACTGGAATTTTTCATTGTAAAAAATCTGTTTATTATATGTTTGACATTTATAATACTTTACTCAATATTTACGAACATTTTATGTAAAAATAAAATATTATACATTGAATGACATATTATAAATGTCAAATCTATAAAATAAATTTTCTTACTGAAATGTCATTCATATACAATACATGAAAAATGATTTTTGATGTTAAAAATATAATATATAATATATATTATATTTATATATTATATTCGCATGTTTTATATAAATGATTCTTTATTACAAAAAATTTATTTTTACACATATTTTACATAAATATATTCATATAAAAATCCACAATCTATTAATAACTATTAATAACTAATTAAAGTGTTGTATGTAATTATACGTAATGTTGGAAAGGTTAAGTTATAAATTTTATCTGCAATAAATTCGATGCTTTTTTTTTTTTTAATATATATCTTTTTTTTTTCCATATCGCGAGAAAGCATAATTTGTTCTGTGGAAAAACATGATATTTTTTTATGGCACTATGTAATATATTGTTTTTATTTTTACACTGCTCGACATGTTGCCTTCAATATTATACATTATTTCTCTCGCTCTTTTACCTGGTTCTTTATCATAAGATATGATCATGATGATTATGAACGTACTACCATGGGGAAAAAGGCGTTATGCCCACCACTTTTCTTTTATTCGGAGCAGTTAATTTTCCGCCTGCTTTTGATTATCTTCCTTTTTATTTTTATCGCGTGTGTTATACTTTTTCTTTCTTATCTTTTATGTGTATTAAAATATTCTTTTTTCAAGGATTGTGTAATTAATATTCGATAATAAGATATTGTTGCTATAATTAAATATACAATAAAAATATATAAAAAAATATAAAAAAATATAATTTTATAAATACTTTTAAATAATTTTATAAGTTTATATATTATTTATAATAATTTTCTTTTAATTTGAAATAAGAAAAACATAAAATTTTAAAATAAATTTTTAATTTTATTAAAATTCGATTAATATTACTATAATAATATTTCTAATTCATTATAGATTTATAATAGTTATGCTTAAATATTACAGCATTGCAATTCTTAATGGAAATTTTCAAATAAATTTTAAAAAAGAAACTTTATAATTCATATTCTTTCACACATTACTACACAAATAATACGTTACTCATTGTTTTAAGATACCTTTCTTGAATAGTTTTAATTTTGAAAAAGGGAAGAAATATTTGCTACAAAAATATTAAGAAAATCATATACACATTAATTCAACACGGTCAAAAAAGAAATTACATTTCAATTCAAATTTCTTCAAAAAAATTGAAAAAGAAATCAAAAAATCTTTCATTTACTAGAATAGATGATCCAATTACCAAATAATTATGTAATTTTTTAAAAACTAGAAAAAGAAACATGAAGTAATCAAATTATTACATATTAAGATTAAATATTTATAATAATTGAAATTATTATAAGATAATATTCCATGAAATAAAATCGATATTGGAATATTTAGTTTCTTTTTAACTTTCCAATAGTGTGAGTGTTTTAAATGTAAACTTTTACAAAATTTATCTGTAATTAAAATATTAATTTAAAATATAATTCAAAGTATTACAAATTTATAGACTCATAAATATTTTTACAAATATAATAATCAAATGATTTTTCATAAAAATTGGTTTTTTTAAATGATATTAAAAACTACCTCGAGTATTTTGCAAACAAGTCAAAAGTATTTAAAAAAAGAATAAAATAAAATAAAATAAATTAGGAAATAGAACTTTAACTTAAATTAAAAATAAATTAATAAAATTGTATAAATCATTGATATATATTAATGATCCATTTCAAAACTTCTGTAAAGATATAGATTTACATAATAAAACGAAAAGAACTTTTTGAACAACCCAATAAAATCGGTAAAAACGTCGAATGTAAAGTAATCTGTATAGAAGCACAATCATTTCGAGATCTATAAAAAGCGCATCGTATATCAATGATTCACGATTATTATCCGAACGTTTCCATCAACAGAGAAAAATAGAATGTAAAAATAGAGTTTTCGAACATTTACGATCCACGTTGTATACGCGTTTGCAAAATGGCTCGTATTCAGAAGGTGTTGTTAAGGATGCTCTTTCAACTCGAGCTTTTAATGCTATTAAATTTAGAACGTGACTTTGATACGTTGGCCTACAAAAGTGAGAAAGAAAGAAAGAGAGAAAGAGAGAGAGAGAAGAAAAGAGAAGAGGAAAGAAAGAAAGAGAAAGAAAAAAAAGGAGGAACGATTTGGCTACCGGCACATTGTTACCAGCCGCATTCTGAATATAATTGGTGCTAAAAACACGAGTTGAAAGGGCATTTAAACCCTTGACAGCGTGTTCTGAATGCGGGCCAATACATAGTTTTAAAAACCGGTGCAAGGTTTTTTTTTTGCACGGAGTGGAATATTTAAGAAATATGGATTGAGGTATTTAGTATGTGAGCGACGAAATGTTGGTAAAGTAGTTTTTTAAAGTAGTTTAATGCCGATTTTAATTATTTTTGAACGCGAGTGGAAGATTAACATACTCGTTGGTTTCATGCTTATTTTGTTTTTTTTTTTCTTTTTTCTTTTGCAAGAGATATTCCGATTTTTTTTTTAGCGTTTTTTAGCATTATGAATTCTTTATATCGAAATCAAGGTTTCCCAATGTTTTTCGAGACATGATTTTCTTTTGTAACAATCAAATAAATAAATCTTCTCATAAAATGAATTTTTGATATAATAAAATTAATATAATTTTATTTTTAAAGGTATACATTGCACATGAGAATATTAACAAAATATTAAAAAAATATCGTAAGAAATATAAAATACATAATGTAGTAATATATAATGTATTATCATGATGGCTGTTTAATATTTTTATTTGTCGTAAAATAAAATTACTTTTATTTTTTGTATTTTTATATAACTATATTAAAATATATAAATACTGAAAATTTTTATAAAATTATTTATATAAATAAATATAATTGTAGCAATCTTTTTGTGATTCTGACACATAGATTCATTGGGAATCATTGATTTAAACAGATAATTTTTTTTGTTAAAGAAAAATTAATTAGTATCAGTTAGATAAAAATTTGTTTATTTCTTTAACACTTAACTTCCTGCTTCATAATTTAATTGAAACATATAAGAAATATTATTTAATTTTATATAAATTACTCAAACTTATAACGATAAAATAGTAAAAATATACAAAATTATTAATAGTTTTCTCACAATAAAATTATAATAAATTTTGCTACAAGAAATTTTCAAAATTGAATGACATCTTAGAGATGATATTTTAAAGCAAGCAATCAAGATATTTAAAAATTCCAAATAAATAAAAAATAAATGATATATCATATATTGTATATACCTAAAGATTGTCCATCATTTCGGAAAGGGTCAGCCTGGAGGTGGACATTGTGACGCCACTGTCGCTGCTGCTTTGCACGCTGCTGTGATCATCGGTGTCCGATTGATTGCTCGTGTAACCGATTACATCTACTTCATCTGCAATCATAAAACAAAGAAAGCATATAAATAAGCGTACTTTTAAAAATTGAGAGACAAATTTTATTAATATAATATTCATTTGAAACAAACTTTGATTTTTTTTCTTCATTTTAAAAAATTAGAGATAATACAAAGTTATTATTTGTTAAAAATTAATTAACTTCGTTATAATATATATTCTAGAGTCGATATAAAAATGAGACGCAAATTCTATAAATAATTTAAAAAATATCAAAAATTTAGATTACATTTTATTTTTCATTGTTTAATATCTGATATTTTATTTATGGTATATAAATCACTATAAAAAAAATGAGAGAGATTTTTAGTGTGCTCAACATTTAAAATTTAAAACTCAAAATGCAAATTTTAAAATTTAAAATATATTCAAAATCTAGAATCCAAAATTCAAAACTTAAAAAACTATTATTAAAAAATTAATAATTTAAAACCTAATTTTCAGAACTCAAAATTCGAAATTTAATTTCGAAAAAATTCAAAATCGATAACTAGAATTCAAAACCAAAATTCAAAAACAGAAAATCTAGAATCCAGAATATCTACTTGAAATCTAGAAACTTAGAATGCAAAACATTCAATATCTTAAATTCAGAATTCAAAATTTAAAAACCAAAATAAAACTCAAAACATTAAATCCAAAAGATATAATCCAAAATCCATCCATTTCAATAATGAAAATTTCCTCACACTTCTATATCTCTTTTTGTCTTTTAATATTAACCTTTCAATATTTATATTATACAATGATAAATCTCCATGTATCAAGAATTGTTTGCTATATTTCCCATTTTCAACTATTGGCTTTGACAGAAAATGATTGATCGGTTCAATCTTACCAATCAACGATCAAACCATTAAATAGCGATTAGAGCTGTCAAAAGCACAAAAACAGACTTTCCCAATTCGATTCTTTCAATAACATTAGACACTTAACGATTCGTACGATCGGATAATTTCCAGACACATCGCGTCGAACACAATTGAATAACTCTTGTCATACACGGTAATAGGAAGCCAGACCGTCGTTAGATAATTTAAAAAACGCAGGTGTGCGGGACGTGGCCGTAGTAAATTGTAGACGCGATCGGACAGCTGTGGCTCGTAAATATAAAAGCGCGCTGCAACAATTCCCGCGATTTTGGGGGGTTGTCCGCGCGAATTCCGTCAAAATCGATATACACAAGCGGGGCTAACACGTTTTCGGAAATATTGGCCGGAGCTAGTGATGGGATCAAGTTCAATAAAGGCTTAATCAAATCTGAATCAAATCAAATAAATCTGAATCAAATTCGATAATTGTTTATAAAAAAAAATACTATCTTTCGATTTTGATAATTTTTTTTTTTGTTTTTAATATTGCCAAGGTCATTAGTTTAAATAATGAAGATTTTATTTAAAGATCGTTGTTCATTAAAAAATTATTAACAAAAATATTTCTTCAACAAAGAAACAATGTAAATTCATTTTAATTAGATTTATTGTTACAGACTATTGGTGATAATAGTTATTAAATTGACTAACAATTAAATGTTTTTTTATTAATTTTGAATTTTAAAATTAATTAATTAAATTTTAAAATAAATTAATTAATATCAAATTTATTTAATTTTCATAATTTATATTGTTATAAACAATACAACATGTTGTATACATGTTAATAATTTTTTAATAAACAATCTAACCAAATCTAATTTAATTTAAATTGTTTTAATAAATATATTTTTGATTGTCAAGTAAAACTTTTATAATTTATTATTTAGTATGATAATTTTGATAATATATTGAAAAATCATTGAAATCGGAGAATGTATTTGTAAATATTTATTTCAAATTCAATGCAAAAGATTATTTTATAAGAATATTATTCGAATACTATTAAAAGGGGAGTAATAAGTTCATTTATCAATTTGTTATGTCAAAGTATTTAAGAATTTGTATTTTAATTAATTTAAAAATATTAATAAATAATTATAAATTTATCCACTTTTTTATAAATTTTTTTTAAGTATATGTAAATTAAGGAGTCCAATATAAGACGGAGCTATGCTACAAAATGAATTAGAAAATGAGTTTTTTATTAATTTTTGCATTTATTGATATTTAATTATTATTTATTACTATTAATTTTTTGATTTATAATACTGATTTATAATTAGATTATACATGAGAACTAGTATATGCTAGAATTACTGTCAAAGACAGTCAAAGAAATTAATTTTAAATAAATAGAAAATTTCTAGAATAAAAAATAGTCAAATTTTTAACATAATCAATCAATGTTTGACTTTATTTAATTTTATTTCTTCCATTTTTATAAATATTCATATTTTTATAATTATAAAAGATTTAAATACAGTGAAGTATATTTTCATTCAAAAATCTTAGAATATTTTATATTTTTGATAAAATTTCATGAATGATTAATATTGTACGTGTTTCTTTTTTCTTTTTCAATTTATTAATACATCTTATATTCTTTTTTATATCAAACAAAAAACTATTAAATAAAATAATATTTCCAATTTTTTTAAAAACTATTTGATTAACTTTTAAATTTAAAATCAGTGTATATCTGAATATTTAGCATATTTCTGAAATAAACTTTCATTCAACTCAACTTTGAGTTTACTTGAAAATATCATTTCTCTTTTCGAAATACTCATAAAAAATGTTTAATTTTATCTGTAAACGATTAAACATACTTGCAACAGATTTCATGCCATCACTAGCCAGTACAAGATTTTCCTATACGTGTATGTTCAATAATTTCATTCCCAAAATGCCAGCCAATTTTCGTATTTTACCATTTCGTGAAAGCGCTCCTCTCATCGGATATGTACGCGTGTTCTATCTCCTGCCGTACCACCCCTTGCGAATTTTCGTCGATTCTATGTAATCCTCGCCTGTAGCACACGTTATCCATTCCCCTGTATTGGTATAATGGAGGAAAAATTTGACGGAGAAGGAGGAGGAATTTTCTTTGGTTTTCTGACTCGAGTCCAACTGGACGCACTTAGGGGGTTTGTTTAATTAAAGGAATATAGAGGTAGAATGATAAAAGTTTAAGAGGAAAGGTAGAGTGAATGTGTTGTATAAATGTTGGAGGTAGAATATAAGATTTGCAAGGTTTTCTTTGGAATTGGTATGTTTACGAGAATGGAATGAAATAAGGAATAAAGGAGAAAAAATTTTTTTTTCTATTTGTGGCTTCTATATAATGAATGAAAATTCATTCCTATAATTTTAATTTCATTAATTTTAATCTCATTAAAAAATTCGTTGATCTGCCGCAAATTTCTTAAAAATTATTATTGTTTCGATTAATCTTAATTTTTGTTTTTGGTAAATAATTGGATAAAGAAATGTTATTTTGTAAATTTCGAATAGATTAAAGAAAATTATATATTTTTAATTTCTTATATTTATATTGAAAGACCATTATTTTAAAATATTATAATTTATAATAATATAATTTAAGAAATTTTTAAATCAAAATTAAAACATGTTTAAAAAATAAAAAATTATAACATTATTATTAGAATCTTTGCGATACTTCAAAAATATATTTTGTAAAAACTATCTTTTGCGTAATATAGAAAATTAAAGTTAAGTTTTTTCAAAAAAAATTAAAAAATAACATGTATTAATTTCACTTTTTTATCTTATTCTACGAGTCATTCGAATTCTTGCTTATTTCAAACGAAATTCTTATCAAAATAAATTTTCGATAATATTTTAGCTACATATTATAATTTAATTTTCTTCTAAATTATAAACAATGATATATTGAGATTGCGAAACTAATTATTCAAAATAATTACTTTCTAAATGTGAAGATAAAGAAATTTATCTCGAAATTATAAGAAATAAGTAAAAATTTGAAATTTAAAATTAGGATTACATTATTATTTTAAAATTTTACGAAACTCATTAGAAGAGTTACTAAATCATATCATTGATACTGAAATTCATTTGAAAAAGAAGTTACTATAGAAATCATTCAAAAATCAAAGAAACTTATCAAGATTATATTATTACCGTTCATTCATTAAAAATTAAGAAAAATTATTCATCTGATCGAAATTCAAAGTTGTTCGAATCAATAAAGTATTCAAGATATTTATTCATCCCTGTTAAAACTATTAAAAATCAAGATCGTTTCATTATATATTCAAATTTATTAAAAAAATTTATCAAAGTCACATGACATTTAGAATAATCTTAAAAATCAAAAAATCTTATCAAATTATCAAATAATCTTATTATATTAGTCAATGATAAATAAACGAAAATTACTCAAGTCGTATTGCAAAGCATCCCACAAAACGTTTCACCATCGGAGCATCATAAACCAAAATCACAAAATCAGCAATTGCCTTGTCGCGAATTAGCTCGATATCTTTTTAGCCACCATATTTCATGTTCGAAAAAACCACTATGAACCAGTATTTCGTGAAACTTTCCTCCAAGGGATGATCAATTTATCGTCGAATCACCTTATGGTGTTATCCGAAAATACCCTCGGCAATAACCATAAACCATTTCGCGGGTAACTTTCCCCTCCCCTGTTCGAAATAAGGGACTGTCGGGGATAACGCCCTCTACACAAGCAGGAGGGCGATTTCTGTCCTAAAAAATCCGTCGATCCTTTATGGCTCGTTTCCTTGACCTATAGCAACAACTTTCCTCGGTCGTTGGACGGGGAACGCGAGGCGCGGGGAATTTTATGAATCGTAACTCGCGACGAGCAAGTGGGAGTCGCATCAAAGTCTCGTTAAACTAGTTTGACGCGAATCGACCGATCCTTGACCTCTCTTTCTCTCTTTTTCTCCCTCTTTCTCAACTCGTGCATCGAAGTCGTTTGCCGAATTCTACGACGTGAGCGTGCAACATGCGAAACTTTTTATCGTTTTTCGTATATCGTATGTTAGATTGTGCAAGTATACCGTGTAAGTGTAAATTGTCACCGAGAATAT